AAATTGTAAACTTACGTAATATTTTGAAATTTTTCGAAATATTATGCCATAAACTTTCATAAACTTACAAAATCGTAAACTTACGCAATTTTTCGCGCTATAAAATTTCCTGATGATATATATACAAAACAGCATTATATTAGTTATATTACACTACTGATATGTAAATCAACTTCCTGAAAGAGTGGTATAATAATAGATCTGGAATCTATCCATATTGATCATTTGTTAAATTTCTATTTTGACCATACAACACAATAAAGTGAACACGGTATGTACCGATATGGGTGGATCAACTTTATTAACACGAAATTGTAAAAGAAAAAAGAATATTTGATGCGATATACAAATGAAAAAAAGCCTAAAAACGAACATATATCTATTATCTACATAATGCAGTAATTATAAGAAAAGTTTTTGAGCTTTAAAAGAATTAACTCCTCAGGTTTTTTTGATTCTTATGTTGATAACAATAATTACCAAATTTTACTGTACGTCTACAACGATTATTAGTGGTAGTGATCCCTTTGCATCTCTTGAGTGAATTTTTACAAACTGTTGAAGTAGCACTATCATCATCACTTTTATTCTTTGAGAAATTACTTACTGTATCTCTCTGCATCTGAAAAGACTCTGATTTAGCTGTTAAAGAAATTTTCCAGTTGGAAGATATTGAAGATCCTTTTTCTATACGTTGTAATACATGAGCAGAGATAAAAGCATGTTTTTTGTGAAATGCTATGGCAACCTCAACTATTGTCTTAACATGACTTGGAGTATTTGCTCGGTAGTTCTTTTCATCAATTTGATTTAATCCTTTCTCAGCACAACTTTCCATCATATCACAATCTTCTGATAAAGCAACTTTAAACTCAAAAGTGATGTTGGTATTATACTCTTTATTAGTAGAAATAATGCGAATATCAGCACGATCTAATCCAACTTCACGATTAGATACAACTTGGTAGTCATCACCATGATACATTGCAAGTGACCCAAGAACAAATGCATGGTACCAGCCCTCATGCAACTTAGTTCTTGTAGTATCACCGATGTCATGGTAGGATACCATATCCATATATATTGCAGGGAATTCTTTACAAAATGTCTTTATATCCTTTTTGAATAATAAATTATATATATTTTTATTCATCTTTACTTGATCTGTACCTATTATTTCATAAATCCACTCTCTCCATTGTTCAGCAACTTCTCTGTTTGGAATCATAAGTTTAATTTTGGTATTCTTCCAAAATTCAACAACTTCTCCTTTAAGTCTAGCATTGGCACCATCCATTTTTGCAGTCAGGTATCCACTATAGTAAAGCAAAGTAAAAACTGCATCTATTTCTAGTTCTTTCTTTTTAAAAATATCATATTGGAGACATGACATGAGTTTCACTTTAACAAATAATTTATCATTTTGTGATGAATAAAAAGAGTAGAAAAGTTTCTGAATCTTTTCTTTAATACTTTGGTCACACTTTTTCAGATATCCTACAAGTGTTTTTTCTGAACCACTGTTGATCCAGTAATTTGTAATAACACCATTTTTTAGAAATGATATCATTGAATATGGGTTATAGATATTTGTTCCTATACTTGTTTGATATCCATTGTAATAAGAACTTAGATCACTGAGATTAATATTTTTCAATATACTTTTTCTAATTAGGGCTTCAATTTCTTTTTGGGTAAATCCAAAGGAGTCTGAAAAATAAGCACGTTTATGTATAGATGGTAATATATGTATTGGAAAATGTTCCACATTATTGAGTCCAGACAAAAAGCTTATTGGAAGAAGCCCAACAAATAGAATTTTATGCACATATTCATTATCCTACATTAAAGAAAGTATTTAGCCATTAAATTTAATCTTATATCTAACAGTAAAAATTTTTTACCTTTGCTACACTTGAGTACATGGATTGGAATAGAAAGTTAACATCATCATAATTTATTTTTTCTGTATTTTTCATTGGCCAGTCATATTCATCAATGAGAATAATAGAACGTTTATTAAAATATATATAAAGATATTCTGCTAGAGAAGAAAGTGCATCAGTTAAATATGACTGATCAGTTGTTCCATTAAGGATCTTTTTAAAAAATTTTTCATTAGTATTTGAAAGTTTTTTATCATCAAGAATATAACGATGCTTTTCATAAAGTTTTACCATTTTTTGTTTAAGAGAATTTAGCATTAATTGCCAACTCTTAATATTAAGATCCTAGTAAAATAAGTTTTATTATTAAAGTTGTCTGTAAAAAAAAATTGCATCAAGCATTTAAGTTTACTTACCTTAAAACTAATGTAAATAACAGGCCAATTGCCAAAGTTTAATTTAATGAACCAATTGAATTCAGAAATTCTGAGATCTTTAAATAAACTAAGTCTTTGTATTTTTTCTTCTTCGGTAAATGTTGGTGTAAGAAAGGTATAGAGCATTGAAAGGTTTGTAGATTTACCAAATTGATGAGGACGTGTAATCAGATTGGCCTGTTCACCATAAATCATGAACTCCATAATAAAAAGTGATTTATCTACAAATATGCCTGATGTAATAAATTTGGCAAAATCTGATACATCTGGAATATAATTTCCATTAATAACTATGTTTGGATTATCTTTTATAATAGAAAAAGTGTCAATAGTAATCAATTTTTTAAATATATTAATATTATATTAATGTCAAAATTACTCACCATGAAATAATGCTTTATTAGTTTCTTTTTATTTATTGTACAATATATGTATATATATATTAGCAAATAATAGTTATTAAATAATAAATGTTTTGAAAACCTCACCTTTTGCTTGTTTTAACCACTTCATTGGTTTTTCTTCATCATCATTTTCTTCAAAATCTGAAAAGTAAAATATAATTAGATTAACATTATACTTAATATAGAAAATAAGTACTTTAAATTTAATTGGACAAAAGACAAAACTGTTTACAGATACCTTTAATCAATTTTAAGCATTTTTTTGGTGGTCCACTATCTATCAAGAAAGGTAAATGCAAAATATTTGAAACTATCAATATGATACAGAAAAAAGTAAAATATCAGATATACAACATTCATTGTATTGACAAAAACTTATTATGATTTACTTACCAATATCAGCAGATTGCTCTACAATAATACGAATGTATTTTTTGAGTAGATTTGATGATAAGAATCAGGAAAGAAAAGTATAAGAATTCAAAAATAATTAAGTATTTAGTATTATATGTATTATAATAAACAGTTGAATTATAAGAACAAATAATAAATACTATGAAATAATTAACTAGAAAAATGTCTGTATAAATAACATATAAGATATACAAATAAACTATTTTATAGAACTTACTTTGATTATTTAAATTATTAATCAAGTTAATAAGCTTAACCCTTGGTCCTATTTGAATTTTATATTCTTTAAGCTTTTTTTCATTTAACATAAGAAAGCTATCACCATTAATCCCTTGATCATGAAAAATTTGAATTTCATTTTCATTAAAGTCTATTTTTTTTCTAATTAAAAAAGTAATCAAAGCCTCTGTATCAAATTCTTTTACAACTTTATATGAAATATTAGTAGTAATAATACTAGACATTTTGATTTGAAAAAAATATAATGCAGTCAATGTTATATAGTTCAGAAAAAGAAAAAATTTGCAGTTATTTACTATATATATATAAGAAATTTACAGTTGTACAAATCAGTTGTAGATGAATTAATAAATAGATTTAATGAGTCATTTTAATAAATTATATATACTGTATATATTATAATTATGTAAGTTTTTAAATAATAAATAAAAAATTATATTTTATATGCAGTATTATAATAATAATTATTATTATTAATATAATAAATTTTACAATAAAAAATAAATTTTGCAATAAAAAAAATTTTTTTTGTAATGAAAAAAAAGTTAAATTAATTAGGATTTAAAATGAAATATAAGATATAGGATATGAGATTGGAATTTAGAATTGAAATGGAATTTAGAATAAAATGGGATTTAAAATTGGAATGAGATGGAATTTATTTGAATAGTAAATATAGTTATAATTATATAATTATTTGATTATCTGTCAAAATTTAATTCTCTATAGTGCATTATACACTTTTCATCATCTTGATCATTGTAATTGTCATTATTATTTAATAATAAACTTGCTGACAAATCAACAAAATTGTAACTTTTAATTCATTATTATTTACTTCTTTTAAATCTACAACTTCAGTTCTTCAATTAAAAGCAAAATCAACTTCATTATTTTTATCAAATAAATCAGTTCCATTATTTATTGATAATGAAATTTGATTAGAGTTTCATCAATCTCTTCTGAAGTTATATTACTATCTAAAAATTTTAACTCTGATCTTGGTACATCATTTGCTAGAAACCATCTTTATGAGGCATGATTTCATGCATTCTTAATGCAAGTTTTCTAATAGGATCATCTCCTTTTTTTAATTCTAAAGAAGTCCACTAATTTGTAAGAATACTGGATTATTGGTACCTTCTACAAATGGGGTCATCAAAAGGTTCATTATAAGCCAAATTGTGTAAGTAAAAGATTAGAACTATCTTTTCCTCCACCACAATGATTTTCCAAATATTAATAGCTTCCTTAGAAATAATATTTTAAAAATATTTCGTTGAAAACAAAATGCTAAAAAATTTTACATTTATTAATTAAAAAATATATCATAAACTTTTGAATTATTAATATAATATTCTTCTTACCTTGATATTTAGGATGGAAAAAAAATGCTAACATATAAGTATTAATATTAAATTCTTTCCATCTTTTATTAAAAATAGCAGTACATTTTTGTTTAAAATCATTATTTGAACAGAAGGAATTTTTGATATTGCCTGTGCGCCATTTTAAGTAATTCTAGGAAACAATCAGCTAATGTTATAGTAGTATTCAAAAAAAAGAAAAAGTAACTCCTGAAAAAGCGGAACAACTTATCAAGTCACTAACTGATCATTTAAAACAATTCAAGATAGAAATCCAGCAAGAAATTGATCAATATTCAGAAGATATTGAAAAAAATTTTTGGGGAAGAAAATAGCAATTTACAAGATGAAGTTAAAAGACTGATAGAGGAACTAGAAAATAAGAGCGAAAAAACTCAAACTGAAGTCCCTCCTAAATAATAATTTGTATGAATGATAAATTAAAAGTTGGAATAAACAAGTCAATCCAAATCCTATCCCAATAAAAAGGGCCAAAGGGAGTCCAAAAACTCCCTTATCTAACAATTACTTAAAATAATTATTATAATTTATAAATTAACCTCTAGTTAGAAGTTCAAGCGTTCTAGCATCTTTCAATTTTTCGTTTCTAAGGTGGTGAACATAAGCTAACGAAAGCGTCAAGCCAATAGAATGACTGGACTGACGAACATATTATATAGTAAAAAAAAATCCAGTTATGGGTTAAACAAAAACTATCATCAAATAAAACAATACATTTTTAAAGTTATATTTGAATTCCTTGCAGCAACTATCCTTAATAATGTGAAGCAAAAACTTGGTAAATTAAAAAAAAATAAATAAAAAGTTGAATAAAAAATAAATAATTGATCGTGTCGCGTATTTAATAAATGACCAATTTCTGATCTACATCGTTTCGAAACGTGTCTTTGCGCTTAAAAAATATATATATTTATTATATATACACTAAATTATAGTTGATAGACAAAAGAAAACCAATACAATCAGAGTAACACTGGATGCGTAAAATGAATTTCTTTTGCACAAATAAGAACTCTTCGTTAATTCTTAATTTCTCTTGATTCCTTTATAATAGAAATTTTGGCCTCTTTTAATTTATCGCGTGGGAATTATTAAGTTAGTTAAATCGTACAAAGCGTAAATAGAAAATCATTCAATAACAAAAAAAAAAGTCGGTAAAAAAGGGATAATCGGAAATGCCGTAAAAAAAAGGAATAGGAAACCCCAATTTAATCCCAATGAATAAATATGTATGTAAGAAATTATTATCGTTTTATCGTATAGTAATAATGCCCTTACAAGTTTACGTTTATGTACGTTGCTATCTGTAATATCCAAAAAATTAGATTTTACTGATACCAATAAAAATCGTTTATTTCCGTTTTCAATATTTTAAATGCGCGTAGTACTATCACGTGTGTACCTTTTTTTTGCACCGATGTATTTTTTTGTCAATTACTCCACCGGTATAAAAAAAAGTATAAAAAAGTATCACATCATACACAATGAGTTATTTCATGAATATCTAATAAAAACTCCATATACACATACACGATGCTCGGGGGCCGAGGCTAGTGATGCAATCCGTCTTTCTGCTACTCGCGGATATCCGTCATCCGTCAGTGCAGTGACGGAAATCCGTTTTTTATTAAATCCACTGTCGGATATCCTCAAATATATGGCGTGCCATAATACAGATATCTTCGGATACACGGATAAACGGATAAAAGAATACGGATAGGCGGATGACGGATATCCGCGGATTGAAACACCCGAAGCATCGGAGTTACTCATTGATATCTATGGAATAACAAGTATTAATTTAACTTTAAACAAATATATTCCAAGAAAAATTTCTTTTCTCACATTATTGTTTCCAATTTAGTTTTAGCGAGAAAGGTAAATATAAGTGTTCTACTATCTAATGGTTGACAAGTATATTTTTTTGTCTATGAATCTGATAATTGAAAGATTCAACCGATCGGGATTCGGTCTAACCAGTAAAAAAATTAGCCAAATTTCCAAAATTCGACTACGGTAAAAAGTGAATGATTATTATTTGTTTTGAAAACAAATAAACTTTATTTAATTTTTTTTAATGCTCTTTTTAAAAAACCGGTTACCATTCTTCTTTACCGTCTAAAAGTATCCCTTTTTGAACGTACCCCCATTTTATAAGACCCAGGTTTATTATTCATAGTTACTGTATAATATATCCCCCCCTAATTCTGGCAAATCAGTGTTTGATTCTGGCCAAACTTACATATACCCTCTCTTATAATATATTCAGTATTTAACGAAATACTCCCGGGTATTATTCATCAATAATTTTTGTATAAGACCCGGGTATTTTATAATGCTAGACGGTATTTTCTTTTAATTTAATTCGTTCAAATTTTAAAAATTTGTAAGTCTTATGATCGTTTCATACTACTCATTATTTCTACGAAGTAGTTTATATAAATAATTATAATTGCTTCATATTTTGTCATTCAACTTATGGACCAGCAATATACCGTATAACGGGAACCATAGTACCCTGGGTATAATACAGATTTCAGATTAGTAAATAATGTATAAAACTTATATAATATTTGGGTATTATTATGAGTAATGCCTAGTATTTATTAAATTTATTTTAAATAATAAAATCGGTACTGTGGCCCGCAAAATACGGTAAATTTATATTGTCTTAAGAATGGCAAGTGGTATTAAAGTTTTTACTTTGATTATACATATTTAAGATCGATTGCAAATACCAACTTTATGGTCATATATTAGGAAATGGATATCGCTGCAAAAAGAAAAAATATTATTTTAAAATTTATAAAATATGCGCTATGAAACACGATGGTTTAAAACAAAATTGTTTGTTTTTTTTTTTTTTGAAATTTCAAATTTGAAATTTAGATTTAGTAATTTATAGTTTCGATCTCATATGGGATATGGGATAACCAAGAACTATGTGCGAATAAATTTTTTCACTCTTTAAAAGTAAATACTTGTTATTCCATTGATATTAGTAAATAAGTATTACAGTATATAATGTATCTCTTCACTTCGCTCTGAACAATAGATGACACGCGATCATCAATAAAAACAGTTTAGACGCGTCTTTGTCGCATTTCTAATGGTATCTTTTATAGTATACACTAAATTCAGACGCATCTATTATAATTTTATTCATGGTTCAATTGGTTCATGGCCATACAGTAACATTTGTATGTAATTTGACTAAATTGATAGATTTTCAGATCTCATAACCTTAAATTTTACAAAACAAATCTTTTGCAAAGTATTTTATGTGTTCAGTGTTCAAATTCTTATATTGATAATATGAGAGACTTGTATGGAGTATGGACTTTATATCGATAAGGCATTGACATAATGAGGTCTCATGTCATATTCTTTTCATTGATTCAATCACTATCACTGGCCATATACTAAAGGATTTGATTGAAGCAATGGAAGGGATGGTTGACATCTCCTTGACTTTAAGATACTGATCAGAGCTGTGAATTACGAAGAAAAAGTGAATAAACTTCAAGTACTCAGGATAGACACTCCAGATTAAGGTTCAAGCTGCTGTAAGATAATGCCATGCTGGTGTAAGTATTTTTTTCGTAAGGTTTGATTAAAACGTCGAGCATGACTTTTTTTAACCAAACAATAAAAAAAAATCATATAAGGAGCAGTATCTCAATATATGCCATACATATTTCGTATTTTATCTTTATGACTTTCCTAATTCTTCATACAATTCATCGTGAAGAGCAACTTGGGTAACCGAGATAACCATGATGAGCTGATAGGAGAAAGGTAATTAAATATTTTAATTCAATATCTTTATTAAGTAATCAATTATGTTAAATAAGACGAACATTAGATTATTTATAGCAAGAACAGAACTGTGTACTGAGATTTACATGCATTATACCAAATGTTACAAAATTCAGGAAATTACTCCCTAAATACGCTGCAGACATAAAGAGATAAGTTATTGTCCGTTAAAAATTTGGGAAACGATGTAATGATTTGCGGAAAGATGTACATTATGACTGAAGTTTATCTACGCTTATCTGCGAATGTATACTATATATCGCAGTACCCCTTATTACGTGGGATGTTTAAAACTTGCATTATATGACAATAATCAGGAATTATTACTTGTAATGCGTGGGATAATTTATTGTAAACTGATAAAAGGATAAAAGAGATAAGGAGTATTATACATATAGTACATACATAAATGGGGGGGCTGCAATATGTCATAATAAATTAACGAAAAATGATAACCATTCATCTTTTTTTCTTTTTTAGGAAATTCTCAAAAAAAATATGTTGTCCGACGAGACGCGAATCTTTTTTTAAACTTTGGATGAATAGGATGAATTATATAGTACATAAATATGATGTGGATGAATATACATAAATATGATGTGAATGAATATACATAAATATGATGTAAAAGATAATTCTAATAACCAATACAATCAAACTTCTGGATAACGATTTTTTTTTTGGGGGGATCTATATGAAAATCTTTGATAAAATATCGTTATAATCAAAAATTATACTTTATATTTATTTATATGTTTCTCTCATATACTCATAACGAGAAGTAAAATTTTTTCATTATATCGAGCTTTTTAATATATGCAAGTATATCATTATATCGAGTTTTAATATATACTGGTATATCATTATATCGAGTTTTTAATATATTGGTATATCATTATATTAAGTATTAAGTTTTTAATATACGTCGGTATATCGAATATCGGTGTATCGAATATCAGTGTGTGTATCAAATATCGGTATCAAGTATATCAAAAAAATATTAAATGCCTTTAAGATTATTTTGTATGCTGCGTCATATAAATGCGTGGTTACTTTTCATAGCATATAACCCCTAAGGAACTACCCAAATGGTATACCACTCAAATCTCCTTATTCTTTATAGTGCTACCCATGCTTAGGTGAAACCAAAACTTTTCCTACACGTTCGAAGTAGTTCGAGAAAAATCCGAAACCATCCGGAATCGTCAAAAATCGGATGAAACTTGATATCACCTGAAACATTATTTGGATGTAAATAATTATATATTATAAAATTTATGAATTGAAATAGATGAAAAAGATAATCCGGTCAGTTTATAGTGTTTTATAGTAAAAGTATTTTGAATATTGTGAGAATAATTTTTACACACATTGTCTTTAGGACACAAAGTCGGTCATTCCCGATTTAATAAAAAATTTTCCGAACTAAGTAATTAAAAACCAAATAACTAAATTCCCACCCCGCTAGTAAAACATGACACACAGTACACAATGTAATCTCATTACATCATGATCCATGTTTGACAACCTAAAAACAACGGTATGATTTACGCCTAAAATAAGGCGTTATGTCAAAAAAAAAAAAATTTAAATATGTTAAAAAACAACATTGTAATTTTATAAAAATTGTAAAACCATTATTATTGTAAAACTATTATTATTGTACTGTACTAAAAAAGAATTATAGAATTTTCGAATAAGGGAATTTTTTTTTTTTTTTTT